AACCACTTGCATACTATTCTGCCTGAAAAGTTATCAATTGCTCAAAATTTCTTCTAATGGTTTGTATGATAATACTTAGCTCTAAGCATCTCCTTTGGTAATCATTCATCAGGTACCACTCAGAATTCATCCATTTTAGTGGGTCATTCAAAAAACATAATGGGGTCATGGAATCTGCAATAGCAAGGAGCATCAAATTTTACTTTTTTAATGGGTTCTAAGTGAGTTTCAAAATTTCTAACATGCCATTATTTAGTATTGTTCCTAAGATCATTTCTTCTAGGTGATAATGCGTCCCTAATAAGATTTTCTAGAAATTCTTCCTATAGGGATATGCCAATGAGATTGTAATCAAATAGAGAATTTGACAACTTAAGGCTAATGTCTTAGACTTAGTATATTAAGTTTGTGATTAGAATTTTAAGATGGAGAATTTTTTAATTGGTTTGTACGTTAAACTCATCCTCTTTCCTACTAAATAAATCTAATGAATTTTGACTTACTGATTTAGGAGCCAAGAGTTTGAATGATAAAATGCAAAAATTTCTTTAAGCCTTTACAATTTGCCAAAACAAGAATAGAAACATAAATAACAAAATAAGTAAGCTTAGTCACAAAATAAAAAGTAGGAATAGTTCACATAAGCTTTACCCATACCAATTAAGAATCAAAGGATTAGTTTAATTTGATATGCGAAGCCCTCCCTTGCCGTCAAGGTGTCACTCAAGTCAAACTATGGAGAGGTAGTTTCAAGGTAATTCTAGGTTTGTGCAGCAAACTAATTAGTGCTAACAAAAATGGCATACATTTGTTACTATTCTTTGCAATAGAAGCAAACTACCCAATAATGAAAATTAAACCAAGGAAATGATAGAGATTACCTCAAACAAGTGTTGAAGAACAAGTGTACAAAAGTGCTGCCTAGCTTCTCACTTCACAAATTCCACAAGTTCAAGTTATAGTACACCGAACCACACTCTGATATCAAGAATGATGAGGGTAGGTGGTGAACCGATTGCAGTTGTGGAGAATCAAGACTATTAAAAAGCGATCAAGTGGACTCAATCTCCTTCAAGAGTCCGAAAATTACTTTGTTTGCAGCATAGCTTAATTGTAAGTGAAATGAGTGGCTTAAGATTTAATCCAACAGTATCTAGAATCTGGGAGTCTCACTTCAAAAACATGTATACCTTTCTTTACAAAAGTCCGAATCATGCAAACAAGTTCTTGAAATGTATGGAAGAATGTTAATTGCTGATCTGGAAAGTTTTGAAAGCTATGGGATTAATTTGATGTTAAGAAACACAGGCATACTAGAGATATGTCAGTTTTATCCAGAGATGACCGAGTTTAGGAAAAGTGCTTAGATCTTTCTGTGGAGGCATGGGAATTTCGTAATTTAAATTAGAGATGACACTAGAAACACTCTAGTGTAGATCATGAGAGATTTGTTGGACTTGGGCCATTGGGGATATGGATTTGAGGACAGGAAACTTAGAAAATTAGAAATATAAAACAAAAGATAGAAAACTAGGGTTTTCTTTGGGCAAACGTTTCTTCAATAATTTTAACATAACATCACAAAAAAAAAAATTAATATTTTAAAGTAGAGAAAGAGAAAAAAAGAATGACACCAAATTTGTAAATTTTTTAGATGATTTGATCTGTGAATTAGGATAAATAGCTGAAGAATAGGTTTTTCAGAATTTATGGATTCTCACTTAAGACAACAAAATAAAAGGATAACATAAGATTTAGGATTTTATTTTTGAGACATAAAAGTAAACAACATCACAAAATAAACAACACAAAATTTGCATGAAAAAAGTGCAGGAAAATTAAATTTTCCAAGAAAAACACCAAATCTCTTGGGTGGTTGGCCACCAAGCCATAGACCATAAGGGAATTTTTCATCCAAGTGTTACACACAAATAACATTAACTTCATTTCAGAGCAGAGAGTAGTTTAAATACACATAAAAAGAAAATTTTAATAACACCCTTTCACTACAAGCGACTAATCCAAGAGAAATAAGGGAGTGGTCAGCCCCTACGTGTAACCACCTAAATTACCTCCTATAGCCGATCCCCTTTGCTTCCACTTCATACAGTGGCCAATGGTCAATGACTTTGACTACACATAAGTAAATGGCCAATGCCACACAAGGAAATGTTTGACTTCAACATAAATATAAATACACTTTACAAAAATACAAACAATTATGACACACATTAAGAGAAATGAATACGATATAACATGATGGAAATAGACATAATTGAAGCCATCAAAGTCCACATAAGCTCGATTGCCCTTTATTTGGATCTAGCAGTTGGGCCATCTCCATATGTCACAAGGGAGATTGTAGGAATAAAAAAAATTAATTAATTAATTAATTAAAGTAAATAAATAAAAGGAAAATCTTGAAATGACGACCAGGGTTAATCGTCATTAGGAGGATAGGGGAAGGTCAATTTTAGTAAGTAGTAGTGGAGCGAGTGAGGGTAAGAAATAAAGCGACGGAGAATGTGGAAGAAGACGCGCGAGTGTTCTGTGGGAAGGAAGACGATGCCACAAGCCTCGATTTGTGAAGGAGAAGAAAGAAGAAGGAAATGACCGTGCATTAAAGAAGAGTCGTGTGCAGGAAGTCTGTAAAACTGCTCGTTTGTCTTGTCATGGAGTAGGATGCAAGGAGACACCACTATTGTGGTTCGGATTGTGAATGGAGCTATATCTCACATGATTATAGGGAAAAGGATCATCGAGCGCCCACATCATGGAGGAAGAAGAGGTGTGGGGTTGTCAAAACCTAGCCCAGCAAAGTGAATGAGGAGATCATTGAGAGGACGATCGGAGCCATGTATGCGCAAAAAGACCAATAAATGGAGTCAAGGATAAGTTGATTCTCTGAGCCATGAGAATTTTAGATGCAGTTACTTGTCCAGGAAGGAAACAAAACCGATGGCTGTGGAGACAGATAGCAAATATGGTGCAAGAGAGCAAGATCCAATTGGGTTTTGAGATCAATTGGGCTCTAGAGCAAAAGGAAAGGTATACCTAAACTTGAAATAAATTATGAGTTTATTTAATTATTTAAGAGAAATATTTTAAAGTTGAATTAATGTTATTAAGAGAATTTTCATGATTAATATTTCTATTACTAAATTTAAATAAGTTTATTAATTAAAATAAATGAGAAACTAAAAATTAATAAAAAATTAGTAAATGGCATGTTAAACCAAAGAATTAAATATTGATATAGTCAAATAATAACCGATTAAGCATTGAATTAATCAATGTGAATATTTTCTACAACTATTCAGTCAACCAATGTGAAGTCAAAAAAAAAAAGAATGGAAATCTTAAAGCAAGGCACAAGATAATGAAGTGAGTACTTCTATATTATAATATCATTTTTGGTTCCTTCTAAACCAACTGTATGAATAGGTTATTTATACTTGATTAATGCACTCATAGAATTTTATTTTGATTATTTTGCACTTTAGTTTTATAGGTCATATAGATATGAATATTGCACGTCTTTGAATATTGCATTATTCATAAAATATTGCATTGGCTTTAGGGTAAATTTGGGAGGTTTCCAGGTTTGAATTTGTGCTTGAGTGTTAGCTTCAAAAGAGAAGTTCCTTTTCTTTACACACAGATAGCTCGTATCAGTTAATTGTTGTTGACTATGAATATTCATGCTGATTTTGAAGGCTACATAATTCCGTATGTAAGATTGTTGAAACTTGCTAGATAAGTGTCTTTGTACCCTTCTTTCTAAATCACTGCTTTTCCCGAGCCCTAAAATAAAGGCTAGCATGGCCATGCTTTTGAAGGGTAGCATCATTCATCCTAATTTTCAAACTCAAACTTTTCCTAACTGCTTTTGTTCTCTAGCATTAATGATGATTTGGCTTTGGATTTTCTCAGCTGCTTTTTAAGAAATTAGGGGTTCTATAACTGACAATGTAAATAACTTTGTTAATATGTACCTTTTATTTAAAAAGATACATTGAGCGTTATTGCTTCAGAGATAAAAGCATTTGCAGCTCTTGTGCTTTCAGAGAGCATTTCTCTCGTCTAGTGCAGCTAACCTTACAGGTTGTAGTCAATCTTTTGTTTCTTCAGATAGTGCAGAAAATTTTTTAGGCTTAATCAATTACTTACTTCAAAGTTTCTAACCTTCCAGTTTGAGCACTTTCTACTTGATAGTGCAGCCATTGCAAAAACTATACCTTAATCAAATAGTCAAATATGTTTTGTTTGAATCAAAACATAAACCAAACAAAATCATAACAAAAGTAAAATATAAAAAAATAAATGTGATCCCAAACATTCCCATAGGACCTTGTTAACGTTAAACTCAGTCAAATTATTTCATCAGCTAATGGATTCTTTATTTATATGGTGAATAAAGTTACATTGTCTTCTTGCTTTTTATTTGTCATCACTCCCAAGCATGCTTCTCAAAGCTAAATTCTCAGCACCTTCTTTAAAGGACAATGTTTTGCATATTAACAAGTATATGCATAAGAAGGAACTCAGAGACACCGTTTAATGGTACTAATCTTTTACATTGGTAAAAGTGCAATTTTTGAGCAAAGAAACAATTGAATTTCATTTTGTTGGATAACGACAGGCCCAAGATTATTATCATTCTAGATCTAGCTTAAATAGTGTGCATTCACCGCTCTGTCAATACTTTGTAGGTGCAACACATTAAAACTCAATTAACATCTAATTAGAATTCTTTCTTTATAGGTGACAAGTCTTTCAACATTGCATTTTTTTTTTTTTGTCCCATGAACTTAAACATAGGTGGTTTGGTAACATCCCTAAAATAAAAAAAAGAATGAATCTTTATCAGCGATCCAACTTATTTTCACAATCAAAATGTTCAAAAGAGTACATAACACAGCTTCGTATAAGCATATTAGCTTAGAATAAGCACATTTGCAACAAAAGTAATTAGTTGTCAATTGTGTCCAAGTACTCACAGTGAAATAAGCTGGAATCTTTGGTATCACAATCTTGAACTGTTCAGGAGATTGCCCCTGCATGATTTGGTGCAAATGTAGTATCACATTCCCATAGATTGTTGAAAGCAAAACAAGACTAGATGCTGAACTGTATTCTTTGACGACCAAATGTAGTATCAGATTATACCAAAACAAGATTAGATACTACATTGCTTTATTCTACTATAATAATAACTGGATGTGCCAACATATTCTCAAAAAACAAAAATAGATGGAGAACAGAACATTAAAATGGTAGAAGTGAAATTGTAATAGCCCGAAACCACTCTAGAAAAGTTGTTAAACAAGAATATCATATCATATTAGACAGCCATGCACATGCAGAACTTACGTCAACACATGAATTGAGCCAGCAATAACTGCTTGGGACTAACGGATTAGAATAATAACATTGATAAGATTATATGAGAGGCAAATTTGTGCACGGGTATGTGTGTGTGCGTATATAATGTAAAAACTATTTTTTATGACCAAGATGCTTATGAATCCAAATTCTTAACATGAGTTGAAAAGTTTTCATATATTTATTGTATCAATAGTGCCTTATTTGATGACCTCATCATACAGTATACTAAGAACAACCTAACAGGCACGCGCTCAACCACAAATGCTTTGTCAAGTCCACAGAACAGGAGTGAAATTATCTGGAAGGAAATCTATTGAAAGCAAACTATGCATTAATATTAGTTCTCAAAAGCTTATAAACAACATTATGAAAGCTCGACTCATTCCAAAACCCCCTTATTCTCAAACCAGGAGATGAACATTATCTTATATATCATACATTAAAGGTGTTAATATTCGGAATGATATAAGAGAAAAAACTTATTAAAGTTAACCTCCTCTAAAAGGTATTACATTTACCTCCGCGCCTTTGCTAACTAAACACCGTACAACGACTCCTAGATTAGGTGATGTCACGGCCCGGCCCAAAAGATAGTAACTATTAAAGCGGGAACTGTCAATCAGACCGAAGAAAACAATCTAATAGTTTTATTTCATAATAAAAATGAAATCCAAAACACAAGTCATTCAATTTATGAAATTTATCGTCCATCTAGTTGACAATTGGTTTTCCCATAAAATATTAGCAACTAAAGATTTGAGTTAAAACTACACAATGAGCAAATGTTTTTAAAGTGCAATAATTCTCATTTTAAAATATTTTGTAAAATTTTGGTAAACAATAAAAGAATTGTGCATTAAAAAACAGTTTCATTCACTTTCAGTTATTGTTACACTTTTCATTATTATGAGTCACCGTCTAAACATATATCCAACAAAATATATATTTAACTTTTTTCAACCCACCATAAAGATAGGCAACCATTTTCATTTTCATTTCAATTTTTGTGCACAAGTACATTGCATTCCTCTATCATTCTAGCGTGACTCCCATATGTATGCATATATCATATTTTACATTTTTTCTTGCATTTAATATTTAAAAGAAAACATGATCATTTGTTTAAATGAAAATTTGTGAAATAATAAAACCATGTATAATTAAACAAAACCACTATAAAATAAAAATATTTACCCACATGTACCATGTAGTCAAGTTGTCCTTTTCCCTAGTCCAAATATAATATTTTGGCTCACTCAATTATAAGAACAATTTAATTTCTACCAAATCTATTTTCATTTCATTTTAATTCTAACTTTAATATTATTATTCAAATATATTCATTTAAAACTTATGCCTAATTGACAATTTCATAGAAATATTCAAACTACCTTTATCACTATGACTTTTCCTAATCATTGATTTTAACAACGTTTCATTAATATTACTATATATAATGACAATAACTAAATAAATTTTAAGTTAAAGCTTTTAAAACTTTCATTTGGGCATACTTAAATTAAATAGTAACTTAATTATTAATAAATTTTAAACTTGGAGTTTCATAATTTCATTTTATCAAAATAATTAATTAAGGAAAATCACAATTAATTATTAAAATAAAATTTCATACCTGGATTTTTTTTTCCTCCCATTTTCTATGTGTTAGCTTCCTCGTTAAATTTCCTACAAAATGTTTAACAAAATTAAGTAATTTTTAATTTTAGTATTAATTGAAATTTAATATCAATTATTTAATATTAATTACTAAAAAAATTTATCACCTTAAACCTTTAATTCATTCTTGACAAGCATTCAACCGTTGAAACCGAGCCTTAAGCTCTGGATTGAGCTTCCTACATGACCGCGTCATTCCTGCCCCCGCACAAGAAACATAAATGGGTGAGGATGGCTCGCGTGAGATGATGTTTGTTTCCTTCTCTCCTTTCTTCCGCTTGGTTAGGGAGTAGGAAATAGAATCTTCCTTCTCCTTAGTACAAGAAAGGTTCGAGAGAAAGGTGTGAAACAAAGGTTCGCTCCAACAGCTCGAGCCTCCAGGTGCTCGCTCAAAAGTCTCGATCATGGAAAAAATCTTGTGTGGCTATAGGAGATGCGTGCGACCTCTCCTTTCATTGGTTGCTCGTGGCACTCGACATAGTCGCTCGAGCTTTATCAAGCATGTTTGATCATCAGCAGTGGGGGTAAACGACGCACCAAAAGAGCCGCACATCTTTTCCTCCTCCTTATTTTTCTTCTTCCACTTCTTCATGTTCCTCTACCTCAATCTCTTAGTCTCTCTCACGCCTTCCTCTGGTTTTCTCGTTCTCTCTATCTCCAGAGATTGGGGCTCTCAATATAAGATAAAATTCTTTATCGTAATTAGAATATTCCTCATGGAATCACTCAATTTTTTACTAATGAAAACATTAGGGTATCCTCATTGACTTTGCACAGCTCCAATTCACATATTAGAGGCATCACACTCTACCTCGAACACTTGAAATCTGAAAATGTGAGAACGAGGGCTTGAGCCACTTGTCTCTTCAAAGCATCAAAATTAGCATGAGCATCATCTGACAATGCAAATTTATTTGACTTGAGAAGCTCTCTTAAAGATGCCGTTGTCAAGCTGAAATTCCAAATAAAACAGACAATGCAAGAATCTGCAATTACATTCTTGCAAAACCATTAATGAAGAATCTTCAATTACAATGCAATCAACAAGAAACTATTCCGTGCAGAATTGAACATATTTAAAAAGAAAGAAATGAAAGTGAGGCAGAAATAGAGATAACTAAAAGAAAAGAATAAAACTAATACACAGACATGAATAGACATGCAGTTTCCAATAAACAGTCAAGTAGATGTCTTCTCAGAGTTAGCACAGTCACATATTATAAGAATTACAGTAATATCAGGCTAAGAAACAATGAATTAATTTGCAAATAAAATGAAAAAAAGAGAACAAAAATATTCAAAAATATTTACAAGCCAGCTACTAAGAAATTAAATATTATCACAAGCCTCGAACCAAATTTAGTAATGACTTTAATACTGATCCTGTACTCCATAAAAGAGTAAAATATAGTATTGCAAGTCCTATAATGATCACGTGGCACCATTGATTTGGACTGTTTTTAAGTATTTTCCTCTTGCTAAGGCAAAAATCTCTTAGTTGAAGGGAGGCATCTTGATCATCAAAATTTTGGAAGCTATCACTAATGGCAGCAATTGTAGGGAGGCATTTTGATCATCAAAACTTTGGAATCTATCACTGATGGCAGCAATTGTAACGAAACATGGAATTGGATTAATGACATTTCCTGAGGAAACTATACTTTCGATTACAAATGTCTTCCAAAGTGTATGGCGGTTTTGAGGTACATCAAAGGGGAAGCATTTTCACATGGAATTGGATTAATGACATTTCCTGAGGAAACTATACTTTCGAATACAAATGTCTTCCAAAGAGTATGGCGGTTTTGAGGTACATCAAAGGGGAAGCATTTTCACACAAAATTGGCCAAGTGCACATATCTAAAGCAAAATGAACATAAATGCATAGTACTAAGCTGGAGCAATATAAAGGATAGATTATTAGAATCTATATCCCTGAAGCACATTGTTGTGCCCATCTTTACATCGGTCTGAGCTCATGAGTGTGGGAATGTTGCTCGATCCTTCAACTAGGTTGCTAAGGGATTGATGACTTCTGGAACTCATAGCAACTTCTACAACCCAGTTTCCACTGGTTTTTTGTCAAATTTCAAATCCTCCACATAAAAAACCATTCTAGTACCACCGTAAACTAGCTCTTATTCTTATATTCACTAATTCAGAGATATCCAAATTAGCTTGTTCACTTTTCATCCCAATAGTGCACAAGTTCTCAATTAGGCATCCCAATCTTGAGATTATGATACATTCGTATCAGATTTTCATTAGAATGGAGAGTTCTCAATTAGGGTTATTAATACTCACCTTATAAATATCACATTATCTGTTAAAGCTAATTAATTTAGGCTTTTCTTACAGTGCTCCGATTATTGAATGGTTTCCTGATGTAAATGCTAAATTAGTCTGACACGGTGCTCCCAAGGGGCTGAACCGGTTGGGCCTCCAGAACCGGTTC